TATGTCAATTATATATAATTTATACATAACACGAAGTTGATATAAATAAATTAAATATTTTTTAACACGAATTTATTAAAATTGGACAACAAATCAGTTCACTCGACACACGATTGGCAGACCTATTATACAAGCCGAGGATAAAACTGTGAGCGAAGAATTACCTCCCGAGCTGTCACCCTACTTAACCGCCGACTCCACCGAACGCCGGAAATTATACATTACAGCTCCCTCTTTCTCTCTGTGTGTAGGTGTGAATTTTCTTACTTTCTTTCTCAATCCGGACATTATTGTAGATATATAAGTATATACACGAAGATGAGAGGGTATGATCGCATAAATCCGATGCTACCGGACGAGTTGATCCTCGAGATCTTCAATCACTTGGACTCCAAGTCGAGCCGCGACGCTTGCTCGATCGTCTGCAAGAGATGGCTAGGCCTTGAGCGGCTGAGCCGCGAAACCATCCGAATCGGCGCTTCAGGTAGTCCCGACGCGTTGGTGAAGCTGATGGCTCGCCGATTCGTCAATGTCAGAAACGTGTTTATTGATGAGAGACTCTCCATGTCAGTTCCAGTTGAAATCGTAAGTATTTGTTTGCCTTTTGAATTCTTTTGATTTGGTTTCGATTGCGAGATTCATATGGGAATTGACGGTTTTTTCTTTTAACAGTATACTGGAGGTAAATGATTTATTTTAGTACTTTTTTTGGTGATCAATGTTGTTTTTTGGAATTTGGTGAAAATTTATGAATTTGAAGATGAATTTATATTGGACTTTTATATTAAATTGGGCCATTCAGCTGGAATTCTTTTGATCGATGAACAATTTAACTATTCAGCTGGAAATTCGATATATTTAAGAAAATTTCGGATTTTCAGCTATATTATTTTAGCTTTTATTAAATTTCTAATTAATCTGTGGGAAATATTCAGCTCGATATTTCAAAAATATGGTGAAATGCTAAAGCATAGTAAATAAAAAGAAGTACGCTAAAATTTGAACTTCAAGATTAGGCAAAAATTTTGGCTATTTAGAAAAATTTGCACCATTCAGATTGGTTATACTGAAGAATTCTCTATGGCCTCACTTTTGCCTTTTTGTTTTATTTTGTTGGTAAGTAATTTTGGAAAAAAAGTGTAGCTGTATTTATTATGCTCAGAATTAAGTTTAGGCTGCTCAAGATACGATGCATGTGCCATTTGATGTTGGCTATGCAGTCTTGGAACCACTGATCTTTTGGCACCCCAAATTGCTGGTTAAAATTCTGTTTTGATATTCCGAAGGTGAATCTATAGAACTTTCCTTATTGTTTCGAACAAGTTACATAGACTCTAATCAAACTTAAAAAAAATTCCTGCATGGTCTCCTACTTTTTCGTCATCAGGGTGAGCTGACAGCAGCTGAGGTATTGGCTTAGTGACCATCTGGAATTATAGTATTTCAATGGCGCGGTGTATGATTTTCTGAAGGCAGTAGGTCCACCTTATTGTTGGACTTGGATATGATCTTCTAAAGGTGTTGGACCTGCTCCATGTGTCAGTTTTGCGTGTCTGTTATTCGCAGAAAAGATGGACTGTATTTTTACAACAGAAAACAGTTCATTTATTCCTGTGCTATTTTGGGGTTAAATTCCTGAAAAAGTATTATTTTCTCTATATGAAGTTGGATTTCTGAACTCTCATCTGGTTCATTCTATCACGTATACAAATTTATACCTTGTACCCTTGTAATTCTCTTGTTCTGAAATGTGCTATAATCTATTGTCCTAATTCATGACAATTGGTTCTAGTTTATTTTTCCAGTTATTTCCTTATTTCTTTTGCTAGAAGACCACGTAATTAAATGCTATTGTGGTTTTTAAGGTTGAAGTAAATTATTTTTTAGGGCAATAGCAGATCATGTGACTAAGCAACGCACTCAACCTCAGAACATGTTTTTGACTTGCCTAACATTCCGAATATATTCTAGTATTAAGGCATGCCAATATTTTTTCAAGAGCATTGATTTAGGTGCAAGGCCAATACTCAATGAGTTATGCATTTTATCTTTGTCCATCAATGCTAAATCTTTTCATTTCCATTCTCACCATCTTATTTCTTGGGCAATAATTTTATTGAGGTCCAATGTTCCAGAATTTGTAATCATTAGTTGAAGTGTATAGTTTCTCCAAATATTCAGGGAANAAACTCAATGAGTTATGCATTTTATCTTTGTCCATCAATGCTAAATCTTTTCATTTTCATTCTCACCATCTTATTTCTTGGGCAATAATTTTATTGAGGTCCAATTTTCCAGAATTTGTAATCATTAGTTGAAGTGTATAGTTTCTCCAAATATTCAGGGAAGAAGACGCCATGCTGATCAGTCTGCACTTTCATCTCTCGGACTTCATTTTTTGACTGAGAAAAGTGGGCCTGAAGATGGTGAAACAGAATCATACTGTTTATCAGATGCTGGGTTGTGTGCTGTCGGTGATGGCTTTACCAAACTTGAGAAGTTGAGCCTAATATGGTGCTCTAACGTGACAAGTTTTGGATTAAGTTCGGTTGCCGAGAAGTGTAGATCCTTGAAATCTTTGGATTTGCAGGTGACTATCTAGTTTCTAAAATTTGGTTTTCATGTATTTATATCCATAGTTGATCTATTCAAGCTTCTTGTTTTTTAACCAGATGGAATCCATTGACGCACTAACTGCATGCACATGATCTATATTTCACTCTAAGCTGGTTGTTATTGAATATTGTTGCCTCCTTTGCTGAGGTATAAGTTATGCTGCTCCTTCAATGGCAGGCCTTCAAGGTTGGGGCGGCCTGTTGTTTAGCGTGTCTGCACAATCGTAGGCTTCTTAGACATAATTTGTTGGTTATTAGGAAACATATTGGGAGGCCTTCCAATGTTGAGCTATTACATATATTTCTTTTCAGTGTACCATTAATTCTGTAGCCCTTTCTAAGCTGTTTACCTGTCGTTCTAACCCTTTGTTTTAGTGGGTCGTTTATGGAGCATAACATAGTGTTACCTTTGTGTATTATGAAGTTTATGGTATGTCAAATGCAATGCCTAACTAAACTTTAGTTATCTATGTCTTCTTTGCAAAGGGTTGCTATGTTGGAGATCAAGGGCTAGCTGCTGTTGGAGAGTGTTGTAAGCAACTTGAAGACTTGAATTTACGGTTTTGTGAAGGTTTGACTGACAGGGGTTTGGTTGAGTTAGCTCTTGGCTGTGGGAAAGCTTTGAAATTGCTTGGTGTTGCTGCTTGCGCTAAGATAACTGATGTCTCCTTAGAATCTGTAGGATGTTATTGCAGTTCTCTTGAGACATTGTCATTAGACTCGGAGTTCATTCACAACAAAGGTGTACTTGCCGTGGCCAAAGGATGTCCTCTGTTGAAAATACTGAAGCTACAATGCATTAATGTTACAGACGATGCTCTGCACGCTGTTGGCATTTTTTGTTTATCCTTGGAGTTATTGTCTCTATACAGCTTTCAGAGATTTACTGACAAGTCAGTTATTATTCTTGAGTTTTTCTATTCTGCTAGGGATAATGTATCCATTTCACCTAGTTATGGGGAGCTACCTAATATCTGAACATAGTTAGTTTGGTAAATTTTTTATGTGGTTCCTTTAAAATGAGCTATCAAATCGTCTCGGTAACTTTTTTTTTGCCGCTCTTATGCTGTTGATGTACAGAGGCATTAGAGGATTGATGTTTATTTACTATGTTTTTTGGCATTTTTTTAGCAGGAGGGCAATGCTATAAGCTTGTGGATTACTCTTTGCTCCTCTCTTTCTCCACATTTTTTAGATTTTCAGTGTGCTGTAGAATCTGTAACATATTTTTTTGCAATTGCTATGTTTTTTTTAATTCAAATACAAGTCCATGTGAAGATGTAACATACAAGGTGCATTTCCTTTATAAAATGGTCTGTTATGTAATATTAGACAGTAGGTAAAACTTGGACTGGTCTGTATTTTGTGTTGAGTTCTGCTCACCTTTACATTTTTTTCTACACTTTTCAGGAGTCTTTGTGCTATTGGGAAAGGGTGTAAGAAGCTAAAAAATCTCACATTGAGTGATTGCTATTTCCTAAGTGACAAAGGTTTGGAAGCAGTTGCACTTGGCTGCTCTGAGCTTACGCACCTTGAAGTTAATGGCTGCCACAATATTGGAACATTTGGACTGGAGTCCATCGGAAGATCTTGCAAGTATGGTTTGTTGCCTTTGGTTTATTTCTAAATCTATTATCTTTATAGCAGTCATGAATTTTGTCAGTGTCTTTTGTATTTTTGCGGGATCAAAACATATTGCTATTTTGTAGGTTACGTAGGGCTGACTGGACAAAAAAAAAGAATCAAATGCCTCAAGGGTGTATTTTTGAATCTTGGTCATAGATATGCTCATGCTGTTTGTAGTTTGTACGGATTACTTAAACGTTATATATGGTTTGTGGCACTTATTATAGCTTGCGCAACCATGATTTGATAGCTGCATCTCTTGTCACTTTCATCATAGTTTTAATGTGTCGTTCTGAACTTCATATGCAGGCATCTTTCTGAGTTAGCCTTGTTGTATTGTCAGAAGATAGGAAATTTTGCGCTTTCTGAAGTTGGCAAAGGCTGCAAGTACTTGCAAGCTCTTCAATTGGTAGATTGTTCTAGTATTGGAGATGATGCCATATGCAGCATAGCTAGAGGCTGCAGGAATTTGAAAAAGCTTCACATTCGTCGATGTTATGAGGTATTGCTTTTCTTATGAATCTGTGGCTGCTTACAGCAGTGTGTCTAGAACTGAGATTTGAATGTTATGTAAATTGCACTTGCATTCTATTGGTAAAAATTTGAACCGTGGTAGTATCTGATGTGCAAATGTTGTTCCCTGCTGGAAAAAGCTTGGATATGAGTGTTTCTGTTTTTCTGTTCAATATAATGACTTGAATACTGCATCTACATCTCTCTCTCTCTCTTTTTGGTGGAGTGGGTGGTGTTTGGATATAAGTGAACCTAGAAATAGTGTAGAGAAGAAATATCTTTCATGTGAATAATTTTTTCATGACATTAATTGCTCATGGAAAGACAATGAGTGATGTTCTCCTGATATAAACTAAATTGTTGCCTCCTGCTGTTTGGTCCCAGCTGGACTTTTTCTGCTTTCTCTGGTGAGACAATATCTTTTAAGTTAGACCTCCCCGTTTAGTATGTATAATGTTCTATATTAGCTCCTCATCTTAGTGAAGGAACTATTCTATTTTAAGAAACTATTCAAATGTTTGTGGTCTCTTTTTAATCTCTTATATAATTAATCCTACATTACACTTTTTCCCTCTAAGTTTGTAATGATTTGATAACTAATTGTACGTTTTTCTTTGTGCGGGCAATAGGTTGGGAATAAGGGAATCATAGCTGTTGGTGAGAACTGTAAATTCCTTACAGATCTTAGCCTTCGATTTTGCGATAGGTAGGAACTTATTTCACTGGTGCTTCTTTTTAACTGCATACTACTTTCAAATTTTTCTGATCAAGTTGCTTGTGCTAGCATAAATCATTGCAATATGACTAGTAGCAGGAAAAAATAACCTATATCTGTATGTTCATGCGAGGGAGAAGCTGAGGGTGGTGACATCATTACAATTACTTTAGAATGTGGTGAATTGTGTATGGTTGTTTTACGTTAGTGGTCCTGTCAAAGGCTGATTCTATGCTGGCAAAGGTTGAGCCTGAGCTTGGATCTAATTTGCGTCTGTCTGCTGACCTTGCACTCGTAACACCACTTTGGGTTTATAATGCAGAAGTTAGACTATATGATTTTCCTAAAATCCTCCTTCTCATTTGTTTTTTAGATGGAAAATTATTACTCAAAAGTAAGGCATTCCTTGCTTTAACTAAATTTACACTGCAGTCCCTTCTAGTTCCTTTGTTTGTTACTTTTAGTGACACGAGGTAACAATATCGTTGAATATTCCTCTCATAATCTCCATTTGGCCCCTCATGCCCAAACAGAGTTTGTCTTTTCCACCTCTCTCAACCTGAACCCTAACCACCACCAACAAAACCAACACTCAAACTACTATAAGAAAATAATACTAAAACCCAAACTATATGACATCAAGCTGTGATTAATGTGATCTTTCTGTTTTCCGCCAAAAGCAGCAAGATGTACCATTTTTACCACAGCAAAGCATGTGACAACTTAATAGCACCACAAGCCAACCATAATGATGGTGACCGACTTGTTTCAACCTGGTAGCACCTTTAAGCCTCTACAAATGACTGGCACGGCGGCACCCCTGTTGTTCTCCCTTATCTAAAGTACTGCAAAACTGACCTTACAAGACACTTTTCCACCATCTTCACGGTACCAAATCCATCCATAAGCAACACCAGTTCTATCCTCCATGCTGAAGTATCACTACCATAACCCCAACATGGCATTGTGTCGCCAAGCTAGGCTTTGACAAACAAGCAACCTTTCAGTTAGCACCTGACCGGTGCACGTGATCTTGAATTCCCATGGTTTCTATCACCTTGTTTGTTTTTTAAGGTATCTTTATTGCTTGATTTGATTAAAAGTGATTTGATGTTGGTTATGTGAGAGAGATTGAAATAAAGATTACATAGATGAACAATTGAATTCAAAATAATTTGAGCATCAAGGTGGCGGTAGTGGAAGTTTTGGAGGCATGATTCGTCTTTTGCTTGATGGGCAATGACTCCCTCAATTTGAAATATATATGCTGTCTAATTACCAGGGTAGGGGATGAGGCACTGGTTGCTATTGGTCAGGGTTGCTCCCTACACCGTCTAAATGTTAGTGGCTGCCACCAAATTGGGGATGCCGGAATGATAGCCATTGCAAGAGGGTCTCCTCGACTCAAATTCCTGGATGTGAGCGTTCTTCAGGTGTGTCTTCTCTCTCTCTCTCTCTCTCT